CTGCGGGCAGTTGGTCTTCACATGACCAACCTGATGACAATGGTAACAAATCCTCGTATCTGCGGGAGGGGCGGACTGACAGCAGTCCCTGGCATAGTGCCCCTCCTTGCCACATTTGTGGCACCCACCTCCTGCTCGACAAACCCCCGAATGAACCCTGCCACACTTTCCACAAGTGCGGCTCCGATGACCCCCATACCGTGTATCAGCGGTCTTAGACTGCTTAGGTGCCGGCTGAGAATGTGTCGGTGCCTGACGCTGCTCCTTCAGCTGCAGCTCTATCTCCAACTCACGCCGCCTCGCGGCTTCCTGAAGGTCCAGGAGGGTATCACATCGCTGTGTAGACACAAACTGTCGAATATCAGTCTTGAGCATACTCAGATAACGAGTCATCTGAGACTGCTCCGAAGCAAACTCCGGGCAAAACATAGCCCTCTCCGTGAACATACGGGTAATCTCCATCACATACTCCCCATCCTGCCTCAATGTCAAAAACTCCTGAGCAAGCCGCTCTCGTTCCACGCGCGGAACGTAGCGGGTGCGAAACATATCCCGGAACTGCTCCCAAGTAACAGCAGCTCGCTAATCATCAGAATATGACCCTGTCGTCAATCTCCACCAGTCCTTTGCCCCGAGCCTCAGCAGGTTTAGGGCACACCTGACCTTCAGGTCAGCAGAACATGAGCACGTGAAGAAACAGCCCTCCACGTCAGACAACCACCTCATAGCCCTAATCGCATCCTATGTACCATCAAACGTCGGGGGCTTCATGTTATCGAAGTCCCGGTACTGGAAAGCCATGCTGGCTCCCCCTCCATCCCCTGCCGCAGTTACAGCAGAAGTGGTTGCAGCGGCAGCTGTCTCTGCTAGAGCTGCATATCGCTCATCAAAGTACTCAACCATCGCGGTATTAATCGACCCAAACATCTCTGGCAGCTGCGCTCGGAACGCTGCAACAATCTCGTCGTGCATAATCTCCCGGATCCTGGCATCCAACTCCTCGGTCCCTATCTGTACCACGGGCTCAGGTGCTACCGGCACCTCCAACCCTCCGTCTCCCGACCCCGATCCTGATCCTGATCCGGACCCAGAAGCAACACGTCTCGTCACCACCATACTGAAATATATATACAAGTCATCAGATAAATAACATAATGTCGGGAGACCAAAACCCACAAACCCTAGGGGTTGTGATTTCCTTGCTACGCGTATGGGTCTTGTGCTTTCAGTAGTACGGGCCCATACTACCTTCCACACCTACCCATATTTGTCTCAAGTATCACCACAACGCCCTAACAATATCATCAACATAGAATGCGCTCAACCCTCACTTCTAGAGGAATACCAACTATCTTGCATCTAGTCTCACCACTTCTCATGACTCACACATCCATGAAACTTCCATCATCCCCTACAGCGCTAGTGCATGCTAGCTGCACATAACGATGGACCCAATAGACTTTCGAATATCCAATCCTACCCGAAGGCCGAATCAACATTCTCAGGCTATAAGGTCTTTATTATGCACAGCCGTGATGCATACACTAAACATCTATAGTTATGATGTCAATTTCACATACAAGAAACCCTAGGCTAATAGGCATCATATAATCAGGCAAATCTATCATGCGATTCCTGAAGAACCCTAGCCTAGCACTAGCATGCCGTTCTAACATATTAGAATATCAAATAACTGATTGATATTTTGGGGTTTACTTACAGGCTCCGGCTGATCGTACCCTCTGCATCCTCCATCCTTTATTTTGAAAACCATTTTAAAAACTTACTTTCCGAAAATCTCCTTGATTGGAGACTTGATTCACACGAGTGTTCCTCCAATTCACTCAAACCAAGGCTCTCATACCAACTTGTAACATCCATAAATTTTACGCCAAATTTAAACTTTTTTAATCATAAATAAAAATCAAATAGCATTGTTTACAAAAATGTTTTCAAATCATTATCCATCAAAGTCTCCCAAAATCATAACATAAGGGTGAGGAGCGGTACGGTCACGCCTTCGCCTTGCCATGATCTCCTGAAGTACCTGAAACAATAAACTGAAAACTGTAAGCCTGAGGGCTTAGTGAGCTACCCCCAAAATACCAATACCACACTGACAATATCATATCAGTTATAATTAATCAATCAACATGCATACTGTGCCATCGGCCTGGACCGCCCTACAGGGCCTACAGTCTATCTGGATCTATCCCGAGCCTTCAGCATGACTGGTCTGCCACGTGGGCCTACAGTCTCCCCGGACCGCTCATAGGGTATGTTGGCCTTCAGCACAAAGCAGGAACGCCTCAACCCAACCAACAAGCAAATAACCATGTGCGCATAACTATCATATACTGGCATATACAACATCAAACATATCTATCTCACTGATCATCAATCATAGAATTCTCTCGTAACTAGAGTACCGACCTAGCATGTCACTAACATACCAATCCATACGGATCATAAGAGCATAGCATACTGTCTACCCTGATTCCGATCTAACAGATCATAACCACATGTAGCATACCATAACAATAACAACTAGAGGGTCGGCCTTGGTGCCGTAGACCCTTTCGATATAGTGAGGATAACTCACCTCGTAGATGTCGACTCGGAAGGTAAACTCCAACTCTCGGATCACTTGACACAGGCTCCACCACCTATTATCATGGTACAATATACTCATAAGTCCTTAACCTTATAAGGTACTTCATAACCCACTAGTCAACCCCTGATCAAAGTCAAAGTCCTCAGTCAAGGTCAACAGTCCATGTTCACCTCGACTCGTCGAGTACGCTCGGCTACTCGCGGAGTTCCTTAAAGCACAATCCAGCTCGCCGAGTCATCGGGGTGACTCGTCGAGTTCCTTCGATTCTCGATCCAACTTTAAGGCCACCCGTCGAGTTTCCTCCTTGCAACTCGACGGATACACACGCATACATATCCTGGAGAAAACTCATCCGACTCGCCGAGTCTATGGCAATCATCATCGGACTCGCCGAGTTGTTCCTCCAACTCGTCGAGTTCACGACCATCTTCATGTGACTCGCCGAGTCAACCTTGCGACTCGCCGAGTCCATTCGGTCCTTTTTCCATACAGACCTATTTTGAGCCATGCAGCGGCTCCAAATCACAGATCCAAGCTTCTAGGGCATGCTTTTCACGTAAAGTTGCAAAATTTACGTGCATGCATAGCTACAAAGGTTCTAAATGCCAAATCTAAGCTCTTAATGGGGTCTCATGCCCAAGGAGGGCCTCATTCACGACCAATATAGCAACTTTATGATTCTAAAACTTAAGGAGGGTCCAGATCTGAAGTTACAACTTCAGATCTAGCCCATAGCCCACCTTGTCAACCTCAAAATCCATAAAAACCCCCCAAAAACTCAACAAAAGGAAAAAGGGAAGTAAGGATGGCAACTTGATACCTCCAAGGGATGCTAGCTGAGGTAAATTCTGCTTCCCACACCTTCCTTGCTTCAATTCCTTGCACTTCTAGCTTTTCTCTTCTAGCCAACCTTCTTTCCAAGCTTAAGACACACCAAAAAGGAATACCACACGAATTAGGGTTTTAAGGAACTCTCAAGGACTGTAAAGAGGCCAAAGGAGGCTGAGGCTCCTTTAAATAGGGGTGCAAACCCCGGGATTTAGGGTTTCCTCTGCCAGCTCCTACTCGCCGAGTCCCAATATGGACTCGTCGAGTAGGTCACTTAACACGCGATCCCACCCCGCTACTACTCGACGAGTAGGGCAACCAACTCGTCGAGTAGAGCTTAACCCCATAAATCTTATTTAAACAATACCTGAGAATCGGGGCGTTACATTCACCTTCTAGTCCTTAGTAAATTCACCAGATCGGAAGGTTTGGTCCATCTTCCTAATCCAACGAAGGCACGCCACAACACTCTCGCCTCCCTCAAAGGTAGGCGACTTACAATCCATGAAGGTTTTGAATGAACTCCCTCGACGTATGGCAGCTACAACAACCTCCTGGCTTGGCACAGAACGACTATATGTGCCTCATCATCAAACGATTGATCTCCACCCTCGTTCACGCCCTCAAGTGGCAAGAGTCTGGCAGCATGCACCGCCTGCCGCATCTGCTACAACGTCCTATCCCGCTCCTGGAGCTGCTCCTGAAGATCAGCAATGATGGCGGCGCTTGATGTGCTGCGTCCGCTCCGCGACGGTTGGGCTCGTGGCTGACGGTTAATGGGTGGGGTCTGAAACATGAACGGCGGTGTCCCGGGAGTGTGGTTGTTCTGGCTGCCGCCCGCCTCTCCGACATTCACATTCTCCTCAACGTTCGACATTATCCTAGTTTATAATCAGTTTCATTTTTTTATATACACAAACAAATATAAGAAATGGAAAGTTTATAAGCAACTATCCTACAACGCTCAACACCCCCCATTAGTACCTAAAGGTCCTAATTGAGCCAACTAAGTTGTGAGTCTGAACACCGGCATCTGCATTCTGTTCACTCCCAGCATGTCTCTGATACCAACTTGTAACGTCGTGATTTTTGCTCCATTTTTTTCTTTTTTTATTTAAAACTTTAACAATCCTTAAATGAAAAATGCAACAGAAGACTTTATTTATTATTATTATTATTATTTTTCAACCATTCCAAAAACCACACGTTACCATTTTTATAAACCAACATTCAACCGTTAAATTATTGCAAAAAGGGGTTCAAAGAAAAATAAAAACCAAACGTGCTCAAGTGGCATCTTCATTAAAACTAACTACCCAAAAGGAACCCAACCTCACCAAGCCATGCTCTCAAGCTACCTGTACCAATCAAATGACATTCAACAAAGAAACAAGTGTCAGTAACCGCCTTGTGAGCCGACAAGTTGTACATAACCAAAAAGAAAACACACCATTCCTGTAAGGGTCATTCATGCAAATCATGATAATAGCATAGTCAAGAAAAACAAATAACATGATATCATAATTTAATTCAATCATATAGTTTTCAACTTAACTCAACCGATTATCACATATAATTTAATTCACCGTTTATTATATGTAATTTTTAATTCAACCGATTAACTATTTTGGGGTCCCTTAAGGAGAGACTACCCAACAACTTAACCTCGTTCACTACTCGTGTGCTCAGCCAGTTTAGTGCTCTAAGTGGCTCATGACTTCCACCCGAATACACCAACCCCAAGACTTCCACTTTCGCTACTCCGACTTGCAAAGTACAAGTACTTTACGGTGTCGTTCAGGATCGGTACAAACCGTGCCAATTCCACCGATACACCTCCCGATTCCCACGTGATGTTTGATCCGGCCACACCATAAAGACAACACCTCCAGTTCCCGTACACCGAGGTGCACACGAACCACGTGTCACACGACCATCTAGAAAAGTTCGTGTAACTAATCACCGTTATGGCTTAAGCTCTTTCAACCTATTAGACTAGCAAGGTTCTACCCATGTCACCGTTATACCCTGCAAAAGCACGCATACACCATAATAATCATGTTACTCTTACAACTTAAACGAGTAATTATCATGTAATGAAGTTCATTAAGATGTCACCATACGTTAGCATATAACTACCAATTCATGAAACATCATATCCACATGCAATTTACAACGTTCACATAACATGAATATCACCATAACAAATGATACCAAGGAATAACCACACATAAGATGCAAACAACATATTTTCAATAATTATCACAAGCATTTATAAAAATCTAGCATGAATCCTAATTTGCATCAACAATCCACCTATGAGATGTGGTTTTCGGTTATGCACTAAAGTCAACAAAAATTGTCGACTCACCTTATGTTTGAAGTGAGTTCTCCTTTTTAATTCAAGCCTTGACCCTTCTTGAAGTTGTCAAGTTTTCACCTAATAATCACACATACCAAGCAATCATCAAAATGAGGTCCAAGTTTCATTAACACCTTTAATTTCTTAATGGGTTACATATTTTTTTTAAGTTTCACAGCTTGACCACTGTTCAGTGTTTTGGTCATAAAACAGAATCTGTAACTCCGATTGGGCTGAATCCGGACTTTATGAAAACTAGACTCGATTTCCTATATTTTATCCAGAGAGGGGCATCGGCCAATTCTGCTCAGATTAGCAGCTACAGCCCTTGCAAGATAGGGCAAAGTTGTTGTGCAGATTTCCAATAATTGCCAAAAATCACCATATGATTCATGACCTTGGACAAGGGATTAAAGCCACATGATTTAACACACCAAAAGCTTGAATGAAAGAATTAAGACATAAATTAAGTGGTTTATGAAAAGACCAATAATTGACTAAAAGATTATTGAAAGTAAGATGCCCTAATGCACCAACACCAAAAATCTACATACACCAATAAATACTTCATTTAGTTCAAATCAAGATACATGTAGGGATGAACTTTTAGGGAACTTTAGACACATATTTTTGTGGTTTTCAAGTTTGTTGTTTCAACCTCTAAGTCATGGTTTCAAAGACCAAAAATACAAACAATACTACCAAGAGTTGTGAGGACTTTCAAGCTAGAATTTTGATACAATCTTTGCTAGTTCAAACAACAACATAATTACCCACATATCAAAACTTCTAGGGGTTGTTTTGAGGGTTATAAAGGGTCCTCAAAACATGAATTCAATGCAGGAAATTATTCACTAAACTTGAAGACAAGAAAAACAAGATTTTCCCCAAAGCAAATCAATTTGTCTCCAAGATTGGAATCAGTTCAGGAATGCCAATTCCAATATATGAGGGAACATTTGAAAATTGATCATACAGTAGACTATGATTGAGATCATGTACAAGAATTCAACCCCAAAAATCGAAATTAATTGCAACCCAATTGAGGAATTAACATAAAAGGAGGAAGATTCAAGAGATTACCAAGGTGTGTGATCGATCCAACGAATTTGAAACAAAAAATCGGAGCCCACAGCCCCTGCTAAGCCGATCGCTACCTCCTCCCCCAATGCCAATCGTGTGTGTTTTTTGCTTCTTCTCCTTCATCGACGCCTGCTGGAACGATGGCCAAAGTATCGGGATTTTTTTTGTTTTCTCTCTGTCGATGTCCAGCAAGTAACGAGGCAGGGGGACGAGCTTGAGTTCGCTTCTTATTTCGCACGATACAAGGAAATGGATATGAGAACAAAATCGATTCAATCCCATGGGGGGTTATATCAAATTCTCACCTCCCAACCTTTAAATTTTCGATTTTTAGCACCTTTCAACCCTAACCCTAGGAAAGTTGACAATACAAGTTTCTTTTTATGACACTTAAACCCCTCAACTTGATTTACATCCTTCCATGAATTATAACCATATAATTAAATTATTTCACCCTAAATTGTTATTATATATTTTTTTCCACTAAATATTACTTAATTTATTTTATTTTATGTCTTTAAAATCGAAATATCTTTACAACAATTAACTTTTGAGTGACGAAAAGCTAATAACATTAACGGATGAATTTTTGGGTCGTTACAACATTGGCTGAGCTTCAGGCCAATGCCAGGAGGAGGGAGATTGAGCTTGAGCTGTAGACCAGGGAGGAGGAGGAGTCCCGGGGTAGGGACCAGAGACCAGTACAGTCGCAGCCGGCGACGAAGCGGGCTAAGCCCGCTGATACCAGAGTTGGGGGCCAGAAGGGCCGCACTTGTGGCAAGTGCGACAAGAGTCACGAGGGTTCATGCCGCTTGGGGATTTGCTACAGATGTGGCAAAGAGGGGCACCTGGCGAAGGATTTCCCCAAGGGGTTCTCGGTTTGCTTCCACTGCAACTAGACTGGCCACAAGAAGGCCGAGTGCCCTCCCGCTCGTGCAGGGATCAATCCAGGGATCTGCACCTACTTCTGTGCGTACTACTGAGAGTCGGTCAGCAAAGGCTGAGACACCGAGGGTTTGTGGGAGAGCCTTTCAGCTGACAGCGGAGGAGGTCCGCGTAACACCTGACGTCGTGGCCGATATATATTCTTATTGTAGTTCTTTTGATATATTTTGTGCTTATATTATGATTGTGTATAGGTACTTTTCGTGTGAGTTATATACCTGCTTTGGTGTTATTTAACTCGGGTGTCAGTCGATCTTTTGTGTCTATAGCCTTTAGTCGTCACATCAGTATTCGACGTGAAACGTTAAGTCGGCCTGTGAGGGTTTCTATAGCCGATGAGCATGGGGTGTTTGCTACAGAAGTGATCCGTGAGTGCACCCTAGAGATTTTTGGTGTGAAGATTCCTATAGATCTGATACTGATCGCTATGGGTGATGTCTGTGTCATAGTGGGCATGGACTGGTTGAGCCGATTTAGAGCGGTGATAGACTGCAAGCGACAGTTAGTGACTATACGAGACCCTAGTGGGGGAGTACTTACGGTGTACGACGAAGGTACTAGATCTAGATCAGCTTTCTGCTCTGATGCCAGAGCGAGACAGAGTTTACACCAGGGTTGTATGGGGTTTCTGGCGTATGTGATGGATATGCGGGCTGCTGCAGGGAGACCAAGCTCTATCTCCTAGGTTCCGATAGTGTGCGAGTTTCCAAATGTTTTCCCCGAGGAGTTTTTGGGTGTGCCTCCCGAGAGGCAGGTAGAGTTTCGGATCGATTTGATGCCGGGTGCGGCACCTATTGCCAAGGCACCCTATCGCCTTGCGCCACCAGAGATGCAAGAGTTATCCTCACAGCTCCAGGAGTGTTGGGGAAAGGGTTTATCAGGCCGAGTATCTCGTCGTGGGGAGCTCCAATCCTTTTTGTCAAGAAAAAGGATGGTTCACACCGGATGTGCATTGATTACCAGGAGTTGAACAAGTTGACGGTCAAAAACCGTTACCCACTTCCGAGGATCGACGATTTGTTCGATCAGTTGCAGGGGGCGTCTTGGTTTTCCAAGATCGATTTGAGGTCTGGGTATCATCAGATGAAAGTCTGCGAGGAGGATGTCCAAAAGACGGCCTTTAGGACGCGTTATGGGCACTATGAGTTCGTGGTGATGCCTTTCAGGCTCACCAACGCACCGACAGCGTTAATGGACCTCATGAACCGGGTGTGCAGGCCTATGTTGGATCGATCAGTGATCGTGTTCATCGACGATATCTTGGTGTATTCGAGATCCAGAGAGTAGCATGAGGAGCATCTGAGAGAGACTCTTAGTGTACTGAGATCGGAGAGACTGTATGCCAAACTTTCCAAGTGTGATTTCTGGTTACGAGAGGTACAGTTCCTAGGACACCTCGTTAATCAGAATGGTATTTTGGTCGATCCGCCCAATATTGATGTAGCACCTGGTTCCTGGTATGTAAATTTATCTAAGTATTTTGCATTTTTTAGCCTTGGACTCGGCGAGTTGTAGGCCCGACTCGCCGAGTAGAGCCGGGACATGGAACACGTTTAAGTTGGCGACTCGGCGAGTCCATATTCTGGACTCGGTGAGTCCCCGCTGTCTGGTGAAACCCTAATTCCAAGGGTTTGCACCCTATTTAAACCAACCTTATGCGCCCCAAGCTCGCCCCCATTCACCCTCAGAGCCCCCTATATCGTTCTAACATCGTTCCTTGTGAAATTGAAGTGCTTTGGTGTGATTTCTTGAAGACTTTGAGAGAGAAAGGAGAGTATATCAAGAGGAGAGGAAGGAGGCCAGGCATCTTGGTGTTATTTCAGGGATTTCCTTGAGGTATAACTCAGTTTCTGTGACATCCGCCTAAAATGGATTCGGGTCAACCCAACCCAATTGGAAATTTAATAAACCCTACTCAAGATTACTTGACGCTAATAGGATCAAAACCCATGCAATACGATATAACTTGACGTTAATAGCAACATAGTATTGTACAACGTTATAACTATAATCAAAGTAAATTATGATACCATATTAAAATAAAATCAAAGTATAATGCTCTAATTAAATTAAAAGAATCAAACTTGAATTCTCTAATTAAACTTCAAATCAAAGTAGATTGTTATAATCAAATAATAACCGATCTTTTATAAAACTCTCCAGTTTTATAAACTTTACATTAAATTTTAGAAAACTCTATTTTTTATAAACTTACTTTAAATTTTATAAAACTCATATATTAATTATGTAAAAGATGCTTGTGTTAGTGGGAAATTATGAAGACCACCAAAAGCAAAAAGATTATTCCCATGGTCTCCCACTCACACCTCCCATCCACTTTCCTTTTTCATTTTTCTCCCAAACATTATTCTCTTCACCACTTAAATCTTCTCTATTCTTTCTCTCACTCTCAATCTCGAAATTTCCTCCAAGAATACTCATATTCCATCCAAGAACAATCTATTATACTCAAATCTTCATCCCTCTTGAAGCATTCATCAAGGTATGTTGTTAAAAGTTTCAAATTCATACAAGAAACAAATTAAATCTACCAAAATATCTAAAACTCATTTTTTTCATAAACCTGATTTTTCTCAGAATACCATCAATAAAATAAGAAGTTCTGGAAATTTTCAGAAAATAACTTATTTTTATTGAATTATCATAATTATTTCAATAAAGTAGGGCAATAATTCACATAAAATACTTGTTGCATTCAATAAATTCTGAGAAAATTCTGGGATGACTTGTATACTGATTAAACATTATATATGAAGTTTCATGCATTTATATTACTGTTTACTATTATTTATGATTTTATTGATAAATTAATAATGAAATATATAAAAAATACTTCCCATAGTAACAAATATCTGAAACTTATACACTGGGCTCTACATCATGTTATAAAACTATGGTTAATTTTACAGATTTTTTGAGAAGCATTTACTATTTTTCCCGAATTTTGTGTTGTTTAATCATTAAAATATTAAATAAATACTAAAACAGTTCAGAAAAATATACAAATTTTACAGTAATTCATATTGTATGAAATAATGATTTCCTAATAATTTCATAATTTTTCAATACTGTTTACTATTTAAAACTATTTTCCTAAGTATTTAAGCATGTAAAAATGCATTTTAATGATTATTTCATATAAATAATTGTTAAAATCTATAAATAATTATAATTAGGCAAGTTATTATTTTAATAAGAAATTATTAAAATCTAGCCTAAATTGAAAATATAAATTAATTATGCAAAGTAAGTAATTCAATTTAAAATTCATTTAACAAATAAATACCTTAATATTATAATCAAAATGAATTATTGTTAATTCATCTAATATAAGAATACGTGTCTAATTATTTGTATTAATACTTCATTCTTGTTTAGCAGTTCCTAAACCAAAAACTATTAATTATATTAGGTTCTACGCCATTTTGACCCGAATCGTCTATCGTACGACACACGCATTTCGTTTTTGGACTAAAGTGAGTAATCTACCCCATATTTTATAATTTTCAATACTTTTGGGGTGTATCATGTGGTTCTAATATGTTCCAACTTCATTTATTGTTTTTATCACAATTGAGACATTGTTGGGACATTTATACGTGAGTCATTAATTGTATAACTATTGTTTGTTTACGCTACATGTACTTGTAGTGCATTACCATTTTTAGTCTAATCTCCATGACCATGCCCGTATTCTTGAGGTACGTCATGGACAATAATAGCGCTATTGGGTTGACCACCCCGCCTTGGGACGCTAAGGTGATTGATCGCACGTGGTTGAGTGTGTATGATGATTAGATGCTCCATCCTATATATATTTATATATATATATAATATATATATTATATATATATATATATATATATATATATATATATATATATATATATAGGGTGAGGACTTATTGTTGTTGGTATCAATTGTTAATCAATTTTTGATTTATAAACATTTATCTCAAATACAATTGTTTGGCGACTTCAAAAGAAAACAAATTTCAAATTATAAATGTTTCAACTTCACAATTTTCTCTACTAAAATTTGATTACTCACCAACTCTCGTAGTTGACCTGTTTTTACCCATGGTGCAGATTTGAAGAATGAAGAATGATGAAAAATAGGTTGCGCCTTAGAAATCCACAAGACAATTTAAATTTGATGTAATAAATGTTGTTCGTATTTGGATATGTATTTGTATGTTGTGATTCTTGTTTGCATACTTAGTACTTAATTGAATCTAATCATATTATAACATAGTTGTCATGGGACTTTGAACAATATATCACGCCTTGATCGATTCCGACAAGGATCGGGGTGTG